TTATTCCATATATACAAAAGGTAAGATTGAATTATTCGCTGCTGTTCCATTGCCTATTTTCAAAAAGAATTATTTGCTGCTGTAAATAAAGGAATACTAAAAAGTACTAGTACAAGGACATGAGGGGCCCAAAAGCATTTAGGAGGTGATTGAATACAGCCACGACTGGATCCGTGATGCCGACTGCAGTCCCGCCTGTCCGTTGAGATTAAAAGGTAATTTTATTAAAAGTAATTTTCTTAATAAATTTAATTTTTAATTTTTAAAATAATTTTTAAACAATTTTGAAAATATTACTTGCAAATTTTCTCAACATTTATTTTAAAATTATTTTAAAAATAAATTTCAAACTTCCTCTCAATAAAATTTTAGATTTATAAAAAAAATTAATTTTTAAAACAAATACTTTTTAATTTTTACTAAATGCCTTAAGGCTCGTTTGGAGCGCCAAATGAAGGGCTAGATTGGATAAAAAATTTGTTCAATCCAACATAATCTCATGTTTGGAGGATACTTCAGATAGGATAAACAATGTTTAGTGTTTTATCCAGTCCCATAGCTACCATATAAATTTAGGCGAAAAGGGTATTTTAACCCATATACTTTTTGATACTGTTAAGATTAACCCTGTAACTTTTTTATGCAATATTTGAACCTGTCACTTATATATTGAAATAAATTAACACACTTACCTATTTATATGCCGTTAATACATTGTTGACTTGGTGCATGTGGAACCCGATTTTGTGACATGGTTTGATGTGGACTACTCTTTTGATGACATGGCCCTGATTTCCTGACATGGCCGATTTTATTTCCCAAAAACAAAGCAAAAGGCAATCAAAGCAAAAGGAAGGAAGAGGAAGAGGAAGAGGAAGAGGAAGAGGAAGGTGACTCTCAACGACGTTGTCTTCATTGCACTTGCCGATTTCTCCATCTTCCAAGGTAGTTTTGTGGGTATTTCACTAGATGCGAGTTTGGTGTCGGATTTGGTCCTCATGATGTCGACTTCCTTAAGCTTATTGCAGACCTTGTCTAGTGTTTGTTCTTCTTCTTAGATTTGCTACTTCTCTTCCTGTACTTCTTTTTCTTCTTCTTGTTCAATTTAGGGCTGGTCTTGCTCATACATTTGCTCTGGCAGGTATTGGGTAGCAGATTTTGAGGTTTAGAGGTGGGTTCTTGAGATAAGTAATTGGAGAAGTTAATCGACTTGAGCCTTTGCAACATAGACGGAGATCTAGACCAAAAAGCTTGTGGTTTTTACTCTAGCTTTGGGGTCTGCTGAAAAGAGTAATATTGGGAATCAACATCCAGATGAGTAGATTTTTCAAAGCCAGTAATGGGTTCTTAAGATTTGTAATTATGAAAATTGATAGATTTAAGCCTTTGAAGAACAGAGGGAGATCTGGCAAGGTGGTGTGATGAGTCTAGCTGTTTCTGCTGTTTAGTGTCGTCGGATTTGTTGGTGAGGAAGCCGGAAGTAATGAAAATGGTGCCAACAATGAGAATCGGACTACTTCCTCTTCCTTCGTTTTGCTTTGATTGCCTTTTGCTTTGTTTAATGGAAGCAATTTGCTTTATATTTTCCCTTTAATCGGCCCTAAAGAAAATCCTAAACTTAAAGTCGTTTCTTATTCCAAATAGTTTTGATGAATGGCAAGAGCTTTGGAGTGGGTGAGTTTTTGGGGAAATAAAAGGGGCCATGTCAGCAAATCAGGGTCATGTCATCAAAAGAGTAGTCCACATCAAACCATGTCACAAATTTGGTCCACATGCATCACGTTAGCAATGTATTAATGGTAGATAAATGGGTTTCATGGTAAACTGACGTTTTATGACGTCATACATTAGAATTAGGCTAATTTATTTCAATCAAAAAATAAGTGTATTAATTTATTTCAATATATAAGTAACAAGTTCAAATATTGCAAAAAAAAGTTATGGGGTTAATCTCAATAATATCGAAAAGTACATGGGTTAAAATAACTTTTCGCCTGTAAATTTAATCCTAAGAACCCCATAGGATAAGGATGAATTGGACTAAATTTCCTGAACCTACCATTTTTCTCCTCCACCTCTCTTTCTTGCAATTCTCCTCCCTCATCGGTGTGGTGACACCCACCCTGATTCTCCTCCCTCATCGATAGTGTCCCTCTCCCCAATTCTCCTTTTACATAGAAAGATACTTGTGATTCTTCTCTCACTTGTGATTTCTCTCTCCCTGATTCTCCCCTGTCACTGGTGACTCTCTCTCCCTACTCTCTTCTCGCACTGATGACTTTATTTCTCCTTTTTCAGTTAAATCCTGCATCTTGGCATGATGGGCTT